TGGCAACGAACAGTTTGCGGATCGAAACTAGAAGAGGCTCTCTCCTCATCACAACGTAGTGGGGTAGTTCCGACTCCGAGAAACGAACCCACACCATGGCATAGTAAAGGGAAAGATAGACTTCAGCGGAATTCAATAGCTCGGTAATTTCCAATACAGAACTAACTTCCCTTTCTGTGCAATATTTATATTACTGCAAAAGCTAGAAGTAAAGAAAATAAGGCATAGAACCTGCGATTTGACAGCCCGCAGTACCATTATTAGGTTATCCGGGTTGGAATCCATTGTTTTGTTCAATTCTCATGCCGGTGATCCGATACATCTATTAATATATATATATATATATATATATATATATATATATATATATATATATATATATATATTTAACATAAATAGTGCAGTTGACCCGGAGACAGGCATCTGCCGTGGTGATCCATGCTTCCCAACGTCTGCCTAGAGCAGACGACGCATCTACACGAGCGGTTATTCAAATTTAGGCCGTACGCTGGTAATACAATTCAATCTTCGCTGAAGCACCGAACGGTACCACGCCATTTTCCGCTAAAATTGTTTCCCCACCGATACTAATCGACAAAATAAGAGCAGGAATCTACACCGTCTCGCGCGCTAACGTGGAGAGCCTAGGGTGCAACCAGGCTTCTATCCCCGCATTGATGATGATGATAGCGCGACAGTAGCGCAACCTCTAGGTCGATCTCGAGGCCAATAGCTGATGGTGATCGACAGTTCAATGATGTTTCGTGTTATAATAAATCAGTTGGAATTCGGAGCCTGCCCGTGTCGTACATGTGACTTTTTTCGTCATGTTTCAGTACGCGCCTTTTATCTTTTTTAATTAATTAATTATGTTGTACTTACCACGCCTCGCTTGCCTTTTAATAGTTCTTCATAAGGTTACATGGAGTGACTTTGGTACGCTCACTTGCATCAGTTTCAAAGCGATTCATCAAAGCAAACCCAGCGTTTTTTTGCTTTTTAAAGTTAATTAAGAAGTTATATATCCTTTGGGTGGTACCGGTTAATTTTGTCCAACGTTTTCAACTAAAGTCATGCTTTCTTCTGGAGAACTAGATAACTATTCAGATGCAGTTACCCAGGGCTGTCTTCCAAAACTATTGTCACAACTTTGGGAGACACTCTTTTATTATATATATATATATATATATATATATATATATATATCAGTGTGTCGAACCGAAAAAAATACGGGTTCGGTTACGGTTCAGGTTCAGGTAAATTTATTTTGTTCCGGTTCAGCTCCGGTTCGATTAATTCGATCCGCGAACCGGTTCGCGAACCGGTTCGGGGCGCTGAACAGGTTCGCGAACCGGTTCGGAAATCATAAATCACAAATTGCAACATCAAAATAAATTACAAATAAAACATATGAAATCAGCACATACGAAACGAAATACATCGTAGTGTAAGGCTCAGGGATTTCTACCAGGAATGGTTTCTTTATGTGCACTCAAAGGTTACCTCACCGACGTTTACGCATTCGGACTTCATCTAATTGGGTCCGACGCAGTAGCTGTAAAATCCGCAACCTCCTTACAAACCCACTTACAAGTAGAACTCGCTAACTATCCCGCCACCTCGGCGTGTAAGCAATTGAAAAAACAGTGGGGAGAAAATGCAGCTTTCTTTATTTGAACTAGCCTTCGGTAACTCAAATTAGACCCTTAAAGAAGTTTTCATTAAACAAGATACGGAATATGAAAAACACTTCACCGAACGCAACGTCAGAAGGACGTAATAGGATAAATATTAAAATAGAAGAGTTCGCAGTCTCACAAATATGTTAGCTTCTAAGTGCCTATACGAAACCGGGTGCATTATTATCAAACTCCACAGCCTTTTTTTTTTTTTTTTCTCATTCCGATGGAAGCAAGCTTCAAACACTCGCGCGTTCTAGAAACGTGTTATGAAATGAGCACACAGCAGCATTTAGGATTTACGAGATTGTAAAAAAATAAAATCCCGTGACGTGTTTTTTTTGTTTTTTTTTTTTTGCACTGCCTTCTAATTCTTTTTATTCCGTCCAAGCCGCGACCAGCGCAATACTGGTTCCTGTGTCAAGATTCATGGATGCAGCGTTTGTCAAGATTCATGGATGCAGCGTTTATATTCCTAATACTGAGTGGAGAAGAAAAATATGTAAGCGAGGTGTGTGTCAGTTGACGGCACTTAAAAAACAAATGGCATTGATAGCACATTCATTGTCAACAGCGCGTCGCCGAACCGTTTTGACATGAGCCGGTAACCGTTATTTTTTTTCCGGTTCAGTTCCGGTTCGGGTTCATCGCGATAACAATATAACGGTTCGGGTTCGGGTTTAGTTCCGGAAACAATACCGGTTCGGTTCCGGTTTTCGGTTCGGTTCCGGTTCGACACCCTGATATATATATATATCGCCGACTTACAGGGTTGAAATGAAACAGAAAACAATGGAAGAGATCTCTATAAAAATAAGCTGGAGGAGTCTCCTTCACTGAAATAGCCCGGAGCAGATATGTTTTTATCGTTTTCCGAGCATGCAGGCGCGCAATGTTCACCGCTCGATGCAAGCCCACGGCTTGCCTTCTTCATTTACCTATAAAATATATACTCCTTTTTTTCCCATCAAATGTTATAACCTCTAAAGTCCAGACTGTCCAACCAGAATGAGCAACTCACTTGTTGGTAAACGCAAAATATTTATTTTCTGTTTACCTATCCCTTTCAGTTACTCACTTGTTGTCGGCGCTTTCATCACAACTATTTTGGAAATAATACTAACTGCACTGGCAGTCGTCATGGGTCCCGCTATTTTTAACAAAGCTAGCATTTCAGGCTTATAAAAGCAAAGCAACAGTTGAGACTGAAGCAAATACCGGTCAACCGGTTCACCGCCCCAATCTTGGAGGTTTAAAATCCGACCGCGGTGCCCGCCATTTCACGAAGGCTTAGTACAGTGCAGGCGAAGTATAACTAAAAATGCTTTTGCGCGTTAGAAATTCCTTGGCGGCATGAAGCGATGTCTAGTTCTTCGCTGGGGCGTCCACATACACTCATTCGTGGATTTAAACGTCAGCCAAGACAGCCGTTAACCCGAACCCTTTTTTAAGAGTGATGAAAACAAGCTTAAGCTACTGAAATACGTTGCTAAAGTCGAAGCTTGGGCGAGTTGGTATGGGATCCTCGAGTATTTCAACAGCACAAAGCACGAAAGAGCGGATGAAACAAGTAAAAAAATAGCGGTGTCTTTCCTCATCCGGTATTTCGTCCTATTCTCCGATTTAATTTTCAAGTTTAAATAGCCAACAAATAGCAATCTCGCTCCGGATTTCTGAAAAAAAAAAAAAAGAGAAACGTCAAATAAATTTTGGAGGTAAGCCTGATATATGCTCTAATACTCCACATCCTCTTAAGGGATTTCATCGCGAAGTACCTTTATTTTTCGTATTACATGGAAGGTCGTTGACCCTAAGCTTCTACGTCTTAAGCGGATAGACCTGCCTAATGCTTCTCTCTATAAATTATCATAAAACTGTGCTATGTCGGTGCCATCAAGCAATAAAAATTTCAGAATACGGATCTACATACTAAAAAGCCACAGATGCCGCCTAATACATGATGCCAAAGTTAATTTCAAACAGTGTGAACCAAACTTGATGTCGAATTATATCCAGCGTACTCTGGCATTATCACTTTATTTCTTGACCGAATCGTTCCGATACTGTATTACAGCTAGCTGTTTGTAAATGTTTGCTATTAGTAGCTGTATACGCAGTTTAAACAACACACTATTTAGTACCTGACCACCCAAGGTGGAGACAAAAGAAACTAAAATAAATAAGGATAAAATACAAATGAAGTACACATAAAACAATATCAACAGAAAATAAACTTTGCTTTTCTGGCAGCATGGGTAGATGTCAATTTATCCGCTCGCAGTTTGAGCAGTCCGACACGCGCTAGCTTTCAGCTTGTATTTTTCACCTTGTTATATGGCCTCGACAAAACAAAACTTGTAAAAATAGTAACGCCTGTTAAATTATACCGGCAGATGAGCGACTGGTAAGTTTCATGATTGAGTGTCTACACTCCTGCTGTATATTTCAGATCTGCGATGACCCTGTACTTGAAAATTAAACTCTTCTAGTGTCGCCTCCTGACGTATTTATTTTTCGTCCTCTTACTCTCTCTTACTTCGTTCCTTCTCCTTCATTGCTTTCGTACGTTTCCGCTACTAACTATATTATCAGAGTCAGAGCCGCGAGGCGGTTCAGGACGTTTGCATTTCGTGAACTTCAGGTGGAGATTATGCTCTCGTGTGGAACAGCCAGGAGGGTGTTCTGAGCGACCCGTTCGTAAATGCTGTCGTCTTTACGACTCCCACATTCAAGCTCCAGCGCCGACCTCCACCGATGCCCTGGGACGCTTTGGGAAGCCCGAGCACGAAGCAAATGCTTTTCCTGCAGCACACTTTTTTTTTTTTTTTTTACGGTACTTTTTTCACCGACAAGATCACGACGCCGCACCGAGCATCGCCCAAAATATAAGACAAGACACCCTCATACACAGAAAATACGCGCGCTCAACGTGCAGCTTGGCGTTCGGGTATAAAACAAGCAGACACAAAAAAGGCGTCCAGCTCGACTCCTGGTGGTGTGCACCTTAGTTCGTTTTCTCATATTTTTCTGCCTTCATCCGCCTCCGGCTCTGAGGGTCCCTCGCATTCATAACCGCCGCGGTATTTTTAGTGATGGCCCAGGTTGCAGAGAGGGGTGCTTGCAGGATCAGAGATGGCAGCCTCTTTGAGAAGCAGAGAGGGAAGCTGGCGTTGGGAGGAGGTCACGTTCCCCAACCTTGCACCCTCCCCCCCCCCCTCCCCTCGTACCCAGCGTCTAACGCAGACGCACGAACACATTGCCCACACAAACACACACCCAAACGCCCCCCGGGCTCTTAGTCAAAAGCGCGCTTCTCAGAAGGCGGGACGGCCTAGCGACAACGTCTCGCGCAGCTTGCAATAGCATAGCAAGAAGACGCGCATCAAGAAAAGCAAAATAGCGTGAGAGTAGGGACCGAAACCTTGCCAAGACATGTGTCCCGCCTAACTCCACGGAAGCGCCAAAAACCGCTCTACTCACGGGACACATGTGAAACACGGAGGGCGTTCTTGCGAAAGACGAGTTCCCTGCCCAGTTTTCTTCGAAACGGGATCCGTCATGGGCACCGATGTTTACTGTAACTCTCCTAGACACTATTCAAAGTATCCAGAATCGACTTATGCAGTACCGCGGCCGTGAGGAGCCCCGATAGCAGTGCCTGAAGTTGTACGTGGCACATAAGGTAGGATCCGTGAAGAATTGCCGACAAGCTGCGAAGCTGGACGACGGGAATACACTCTGCTTCAGATGTGGGTGTCAATCGTTGTGATGATCTGTTCGCTTGCGGTCTTTTCGTCGACCAACGAGGCGAGCTTGGCGGATGACGCTGGCTACCGCGGAGTTCCCCCAACTGTCCGCGTAGGTAAGTCTGCGACCCTAAAGTTGTATATTTTTTCTCTCACTGCCATCTGCAGCCCTAACATCTTAAGAGCGGTATAGTTTTATTTATAGGTTATCGGTAGCACAATAACAACACATAATTGTTTTGTTGAAAAACATATTATCGCATTTTCATCAACTGATCCGTTAGTTGGCTTCAAATAAATTATTGTGTATAGCTTACCACAAGGATTTTACTGTCTGGTCAGGCGTCCCATTAACATCACACGTTATGAAACAATCAATGAATCATATTGTTTTATTGTGCCAGAATGAGGCGTCAGGTTTTAATTAAGGTGCAGGCATGTAATGGGAAATATAAAAAGGACTTACGAGTTATCATGAACAAAATATTTTCTTAATCTTTTTTAAACTATTCGAGAAGCTCACTTCTGAGTTATTTGACTGGTCATGTATTTTCTGCGTGCATGCCACTGGAGGTTTAGATTCTAACTCACAAAGGCAGAAAACTTTAATGACCGATTGTGTTACCAGGAAACATGAAATGGAATCCTAAGTAGTAAGAGGAAGGAAATATTAACATAGTTGACCTTTAGATTTATTTATTTATTTGCAATAATATTTAGCTATACTGCAGGCTCTATCGAGTTCAAGCGGGAGTGACCAGCTTACGAACACAATATTGCATCGAGAAAAACAAGTAGCACCAATACTATAAGAAGTCATTTCAAGGCATCACCACATCAATTAACTTTCAAAGTAGCAAAACGTGTCTAGTCTTTTCTCTGAAAGGGAAGAAAGAACGAGAGTATGTGAAATCGCAGAAAATCATAGCACACTTTCCGTGTAATATGCTGAACTGACACAATTCTTATAAAGCGTCGTTGGGCAGATTCCAACTCTAACCTAAGCGTCTGACTTGTGGCCGGGGAATTTTATCTTAATGTAATGGACCAGCAGCCATGTCGCCCCGAAAGGAATGCTATTTGGCTGGAGGCAATCGGGAGTTCGCATAGCGAAACGTGTCCAGTTACGTTCTCGTCATATCGCTCCGGAGGTCGCCGAAATTCGCACCGGGTCATTTAAGTCATATTCAATTACACCAGTTTTTATACACTGTCGGGCAATTTTAAATAAACTCGATCACTGTCTGTGAATAATTATTCGATGCGCGTACGCTCAGTCATTACATTTGGACAACCATTTGTAAAAATTATTAAGTCAAAAGTTCTTTTAGCAGTTGCATCTTCAAACATAATATTGTTAGAGTCTCTGCCGCAAACAGTGTCTGCCCGCAAGATTCCTAAAACTACCGAAAAAAGTAAATTGAGTATGCCAGTGCCACAGTGGTAGTTTTGAATAATGGGAAGTTACTCCAAGCAAGCATAAATTATCATTAATAATTTTGGAAGCATGAGAGCTGGAAATTCAGTCTTGGATTAATTAAAGCACCAGTGCCAAGTATAGCTGAAATCCTTAAAATGTCAGAGCATCTACTGTATAAAAATGAAGGAGCATATTCACCTGGCGCAACGAACACAAGGCTTGCTTTTCTTCGGTATTGAAAAAGAGCCAAGTTTCTGCAACTCCTAGGACGCAATGCATTCATAGCATTTTGCACGAATTTACACCCCACCGACGTGAGGAAAATGCAGTAGGTTTTTACGTCATCTGCGAAATGAAGTGTTTTATACCTGCTGATACTATATACAATGTAGTTTACAAATACCATTAAACGCAAGTACATGAGATCAAAGACTTTTCATAATCCGTAAATTAGCATTGAGTATAAACTACGAACGTCTTTCATTACAGATTGATACGAATACGCATGCTATACCTTATTAAATAGAATGGCAGCCTATTAAAAAAAAGCTTTTTTTTAAAAAATGGATTTACCCATTTCATTTTATTAAAGGAATAACTCATGTCAACTGCACAAGCCCGTTTTTATTACAAGTTATTAACAATATTATATGCTAATAACTACTGGCAATATTAGTTACTCACCAATATTTTATCTTAAATCTAATGGAATGTGCGTTAACAAAAATCTATACTGAAAAACTCGTATCCGATTTGGCTTTGCTCATGTTTCACGCATTCAAATCCGAAGTAACACAGGTATTAAAAAGTGAAATATCTTAGGAAAATATGTATTATATACAATGTATGGTGACGTAGAAAACGTGCATAACTTGCTCAGTCATTATTATTATCGCTAATATCAAAGTCCAACCTTCGGTATGCTAGCGCATATTACACGCCAATATTCAGAAAGGATGATACTTTGACATGGGAATCATAACTGGTAATTGAAGAAAACTATTAAAGGTAACTTCCAAAAAAAAAGTTTTTTTAAACAGCGTAATTTGGACAAGCATGTCAAAATAAATTTTTTCCGCGAGAAAAAAATATTACAGGGATATTTATTCCGTGAGACTGATTTTAGTTTGCGGCTATTTCGTCCGTTTTAAATTGCGCGCCACAAAGTTGGTGTTCCGTCACGTTTCCCTTACAAATATTTTTAATGAATTTCATTTGAAATTTATGGAGTCTACTCATTGTATGTTTTCGAGTCTCAATAGAAATGCAAATGAGTTTTGTAACGAATCCGTAAGGAGTTTACGAAAACTATTGGCCACCGCGTTCCAATTGAAGTTTCGACGTGCTACCGCATAAAGTGTCTAATGTATTTCATATGAATATAAATTGAAAGTCCGTTGACACCGTTTCAAGTCTGTGTTGAAAAACAATTGATTTTTTGTAACCAGTCCCTAAGGAGTTTACGAAAACTATTGGCCACCGCGTTTCAATTAAGGGTTTTACCATGCCACCTCATAAGAATTTTTAATACATTTCATTTGAAAGTCTAGATACACTGCTTCGAGCCTCAGTTGAAAATCAAATGTTTTTTCTACCGTGTTGTACTTGAGGTTTTGACGTGCCATCTCATTAGGTATATTCCGACGAGTCGGAATATACCTAATGAGATGGCCCATCAAAACCGGAATTGCAACGCGGTACAAAAAAACATTTGATTTTCAACAGAGACTCAAAGCAGTGTATCTAGACTTTAAAATCAAATGTATTATAAATTACACTCCTACCATTGGTTTCTAGATAGAGGGCTCTAAGAGGGAAGACGGCAATAGGTTGCATGACATGTGGTCCGGATGTAACCGCTGTTTTGAGGGAAGGAGAAAGATAGTGCAAGTGTCGCTTATATGTATGCCTATATAAGCATGCAGGGTTCAGAAAATGCCTGCATAAAACTGTGGGAAGGAGTAATAACTGGTTTATTTAAAATGCGAAATTTGAGTATATGGTACACTGCCTTCGTGTCCATGGGAAACCTTGTACTGCCTTTGTGTCCACGGGAGAGCCTGTGCTGGTAACCTATAAAGAAAAAAGATGCACAGTTACACACTGATCTGCTTATCTAAACTTCAATGTCCGAGCAAGGTATCCTGTTCACAGCGCAGCACTACCTCAGCGCTGAATCAGTATTACAAACCGGGACATCAGTCCTTTAGGAAAGGAGGCAACTCAGAACACACAATAGAAGCCATGGAAGTAGCATGTGACTCGTTGCCTTAACAGGGCTGAGTTAGCGCTGCACTGTATGTGTGAACCAGCCTTAAATGCGGAAAGTCACGTTTAAACTTCCTTTATCTTTGCTCACCCAGGCACTTAATTTACACACTACCTTGATAGTTTAATGAGTGGCACTAATAACATTGTCAAGGGCACCATGGTGCAAAAGTATATTTTGCCCCCCGAGTCTGCGAGAATCAATCACTCAACTGTTTTTGCCGCCGCATTGCAGTCTTTTATTTTGGCTTTTGACAAGGTCTACCAAAGATAAGTGAGCAGATGTTGTCGCTTATGACGTTTACCAAATTTGAACATAGATAACCTATGACTTATAAGCATCTCGAAGAATTACTATGGCGATTCGGGCCAATTGGTCCGTGATCGTAGACTCGCGCCGCAAAAACACATGGACAATAAGTGGTGGTAAACACTGGCGCCAGTGCTTTATGTCCACTTCTTGTCCCTGTGTATTTTAAGTTATTTTTTTCTGTTTGTTTACTATTTTGAAGAAGTATTTTTAATCACAACGGATAGGAAGGAAACGGTAACGGGGTTCTATGCGGATCATAAAGCCATGCTTTGAATGGGTGTGTGTCAGCTGCAGCTTTCACAATCGATGCAATACACGAAGTTTCAATTATCGGGAGAATTGAGACATCGGAGGCTGAATTAAAAAAAAAAAAAAGCTTACGGTAAAAAACTGCGTATGACAAAGCCCGAGAAGAAATCCGTATTAATAAAACATAATTGTCGCAACTTTTGTATGACTTACGACGGAATATTACGATATCATCCAAAGGGTCTTACAATATTCTTACGGCAAACATGGCCGCACGTCACTTGGCTATTTCGCCGCGACCAGCAATGAAGTTAGAAGCGTGGCCAAGAGGCATGTGTTTTGCGCACTGTTCACATGCATCCCTACTTGAAGTACCATAACGACAACGCTAAACTACACACGGAGGATTCAGTCGACGAGTCTTGCCGAGCCGTCCATCCTGCCGGTTAGAGCTAACGAGTTGCAGGACGGCGATCAACGGCGACATCTGCCAATGAATCAACGAAAGAAAATGCCACACAAATCTTCAGTGCACCCAAATGGATCCTTCACCTATGAATGGCGTGAACCTGATTTGGTGATCACTAGTGCCCCCTCGTACTTCAGTTTGGATTTGCGAAGTGGTGGGCAGCTGTGCGACTCTACCACACGAAGAGGCATATTCCTGACCGGATGTGCCTTTATAATGGGAAAGCATTATATGTCCATGGAGCGGAAAATCCGGCGCCCGGCGGCGTTACCCGAGTGGTACCATATGTTAACAGAGGAATAAAAGAAAGAATAAAATGTGCTTCCAAGGCTGAGATTTGAACCCGGTGCTGCTGTGAGAGAGCCGGGCATGCCAGCTGCTGTGCTATCTCAGCCGC